TCACAAATTGTTTTCCTACCGTCATGCGGTTCTCCAAGCTAAATAATGTGAGACAGATTCTACATCTTGAAACCAAGGCATTATGGTGTGAGACAGATTCTACATCTTGAAACCAAGGTATTTTTGGAGCGCGTTTCTCGTCAAACAAATAGGGAAATTTGCATTACAGAAAGAACACCAGTGAGAGAAGGAAGAAACCATCGTCGGAGAGAAAATGACACCGTCATCGGAGAGCAGTCCTTCACCTAGGCCTGGCGGTATGAGGTAGGCATCACTCTGTAAGGTATCAACACATTGGTAGATACCCATTCTTGATACCTTTTTAATTATTTCCATTTCAAGTGGGTGTCCCCCTGTTATATGACGTCTTTTAGGGATGGCTTTTATTAGCATCTGTAGTTTTGAACTCAATTAGTACTAGTAGTTTATAATGGTGTCGAATTAACCTCTTTCCATTCATTCTAGTATTTGTTAGGCTACAGCATACAGTATAGCTATTACCAAGTTGTTTAATTCCGTTAGATCACCATGTATCTAGTAAATTAAAATTGACTTGCGGAAATTCAAATTAGATCTGCAACTCAATTTCCTTGACAACACACTAAATTTTTTCATAATTAAATAAAAATATTTTTGTTTTTTATTTTTATTGTTATTTTTATTTTTGATAACTATCTTTGCTCTGTTTTGCATATATCAAGCATCAACAAATGAAATTTTTTGGGATATGATAGAACTTTTGAAAAAAATTATACATTTCTTTATTAAGAAAGGAAAAAATATATATATATTGAAGTAGTGACGGACCCAAAAAATTTTGTGAGGGGGCGACTTTTTAATTTGTGGGTATGAAATTATATGTTGGGTTCTTTTTGTAATTTTAATAGGGTTTTTTTTCATAAATTTTAAAAAATTTAAAGTATAAAATGAAAAAAAAAATAAAAAATCAATGGGATAAATTATAATTCTAGTGGGGGCATCTTCATGAATTATCAAAATTTGAAGTATAAGACATCCTTTGCAATGTCAATTTGGATGGTTAGGAAAAGCAGGTCTTTAACCATCAAGCCTTTTCAGCTTTTGCCCTCCGAAGTTTAGGTACCAATGCAAAGTAATATCTTTAAAACAACCCTTCAAACAATCAATGGAGACAATCAGTCAGTTTTTCCGTATTAGGCAACTTGTTATAGCTAATATTTATGGACATTAAAGACTCTTTATTAGAGTTTTTAAAAGAAAACCAGTATTGTTTTGAAACACTTCATTCCATCATTAGTTTGATTGAGGTCAAGGGTGGTTCAGTTAGAGAGAAACTGTCAAGCATTTGGAACATTTAATTGGACACGCTTTGAGCTAGCTTAGTGCTATAATGAGATGGATTGTAGAGATGTGTTTGAGCTTTGTTTCAAATGGTTAGAAAGGGGGTGAATTGCTGCTAACTGTTCGAGCACAGCAACAGTCTCCATATTCTTAATTGCTAATATGAGACAGTGTGAGTGTGTAATACTGATACATGTAGTATATTTTGGAAGGTTATGTATATAATAAATATATGCTCTATATATTGCCACTGGGCAGCTTGCGTTAATCTTACTGCAGAAATTATGTATAATTGCATTTGAGAGTAATTAGTTTGAAATCTGAAAGTCTAAAGGATTTTATTTATTTGATGATGCTTCAAGGGAGGAAGGTGTGATTTGGTCTGGGGAATTTCAAGCTATGTACGCCGCGTTTATTGGTATATTAGGTGTCCTCCTTCAACTGAAGGATGATTCTCCATTCAAAACTCACCATGCAAATGCAATGGCTTCCTTGGTAGCCACCTGTGTATATTTCTCGGCAGTATTACTACCACAAATGAGGAAGAGAATGCAACAGAGTAAGCACTCTCCAATCTTCAACCATGTTATTCACATCATTGCAGCTCTTTCTCCAGTGTGTTTGGTGTCGATCTTCCTTCCAAACTGTCTCCGTTACCTGGTGTTGAGTGCTTGGACCTTGATTTCGGCAATAGTACTGATACGCAGCTTATTTCCGGATGCCTGTGACCGGTTTTACCAAAACACCATGAATGCCTGTGACTGGTTTTACCAAAACACCAGGAATGCAGCTTCCCGCCTACTCGACGTGTTGAGAAGGTTAATGGGACGCAGCTCAATGGAGCCAGGAGGCCCAGGACGTTTGCCCGTGTAATTCTCTATTGGTACTTCCTTTTTGAAGAACAAAACTTTTTTCCTGGAATTTTAACCCTCTTACAAATTTTGTTGCTAGCAATTTGAACTTTGGGTGGTGTTGTGATACTGTATACAAATGTAATTAGATAACGTTAGTTATCTCTATATATATATATATATATATATATATTCTTGGAAGAAATACGAGATACTTTTAATAAATTGTATGTTCATGTTTTGCTGGCCACAAGAAAGATGACACTTCATCATTTTCAAAACAGTAATTCAAAATTCTGGAGTTGATAGAGATTTATCTACTGGCAGCTTAAATTTTTGTTAATAATCATTTTATTATTTTTCGAAGCCTAAATTCCCAATTCCATGAATTTAGAAATAGATATGGATGGGTTTAATTAACACCAACCATGCCAATGCAATATGAATTGCTCACATTAGTGTACAATTATATATATATTTGGATGTTTTCTCTCATAGATCACATGCTTTGTTTCTGTTTTCTCTCCTTTGCACCTCTTAAAAAATATTCCCAACTCTGTTACCAAATACATTAAAATTTTACAAGAGAAAGCAGAGGAGGTTGTACCTTTGGAGAAGATTTTGGGCCCTGTAGTGGATAAAATTGTAAACATTAGATTTACATTGCCCCGATGATTTGAGTGACTAGAGGTGATCTTTGAGGCAGGTAATACTCCATATGGGCCATATCGGCCCAGGACCTTCCTAAATAAGAGGCTTTTTTTTTTTTGCAATAAAAGGCCTAAATAAGAGGCCTTTTTTTTAAAAAAAAATTTACAGAGGTCCATAACAATACCTTAATACAAGCCTTAAAAAGTAGGGATGTTGTATCGAATAATTCCGTAAATGCATGAGAGGCAGAGTTTGTACTATTTTGATCCGGTGAAACCTGAACATGCATTGTGTAAGAGGGTCCGGTGAAACCTGAATATGCATTGTGTAACAAGTGGGTTCTTGGCAAGTTACTTAAAAACGCTTAAGGTAGTGCGACTGCATACCATCTATTTATACCCATGTCAATTTCTATTTGGATCCGATGTGAAACAAATACTGTTTGTAACACACTCCCTCACTCGATCTCCCAACGCCCTCTTTGCAATTAGGTCACCCTGCCTACCCAAGTGGGCTCATCAGGACACTTCCAGGCCCAACGCTTAACGCGATGCGAGATCAAGGACTATGTTTCTGATACTAACTATAACAGGTGGATGTTTGTTCATTTATCAAAAAAGAAGTTATTGGATAGTACTATATACCCATCCATTTATATTTTTTTTATTTTCTATACGGATATGTTGTGGAACAAATATGTAACATATTGCATGAGTTTCTTTCTTCACATTTTTTATTTTTTTATTTTTTTTATTTACACATTGCTTTAGTAATCATGCCAGGCATTGGAAAGCAAATTCATTTGGAAGTCTTTCGGAGACCCACTTTATCCCATGTCAGCAGCATATATCACGATGAAAATTTGTACAGAATTATTCAAAGGGTTCAATATACAGGATTGATGTTGAAGAAATGCTCTCTTGGCCTTGTGGTTTATAAAGGCAGTGGCTAACAAGTTTTGAGAGAAAAAAATAAATAAATAATTCCTCTCCGAAGACCCATTATAGTGCTAAGCGAGTCAAAGAGCACTAAAAAGTTTGATATTCTTTGATGGCCCTCTGGCAACTTGAATGAAACCAGCAATGGTGTACCGGGTTTATGGTGTCAATTGTCAAAGATACAAATCTAAATTGCCAGAAGTTGCTTATCATCGATAAATCTCTATGCATCAGAACTGGTGAAATCATCAGTGTGAATTTGTACAAAATGACGCCACTGAGTGGAAGGAGAGGACACAGAGACATATTAAAGCAGTAGTCCACGGTAGTTTATACAGGGTGGGTCCTGAGATTAAAAAAATCTTGAGAGGCTCTAGACAAATTTTAAATGTGAGGCCCTTCATGCATAAATTTTCACATACGCAAAAAAAAATTATAAAAGGGCGAAATTGTCGTTAAAGTAAATGTGCTGTATTGCATTCTGAGTTACAAAATTATCAATTAAAGTGCTCTAATAAAGTTTTTCCAACATTTTTTTTTTTTAATAGATAAGATCAATTCATTCAATCTTTCTTGTGTAACCATCGGTAAGATTTGATTAACTTCAATTTTGAAAAGCTTCTTTTTGCTGATGCAATTGAGATAATCAATAATATTGTATATGCAATCCAAGCATTTGGAAAACAATAACCTATCATTTTTATAAACTTCGATACTTCAATTACCTTTTTTTTTTTTTTTTTTGTTGGTAAAGCTTTTCTCAACTTGTAGTTCTAAAAATAATTATGTCCCAATAATATTAGAAATCATGTCATGTTTTAGGAGATTTTCGAAGTTACGACGTGAACACTTCAAACTATCATTATTTGCAAACTTCAAACTCTCCAAATTAAACAAAAATGAAACAAAAAAATTCAAGCAAAACCCATGAAGGATAATACAATGAGGTGCCACAAAATCTAATAGATTGAAAAACATAATAAGCCAAATTAACCAATTCAATGAATGAATGAAAGATCTCAGACAACACATAGGCACTTGTTAGCAAAATAATGAAGTGGGCCGACTATGCAATGTGAAAACAATAAACCCAGAGAAAAAAATATCTGGGGCCTATAAATTTTGAGGCCCCATAAACACAGAGTCATTTTTTTTTTTTTTTTTTTGGGTGGCCCATCATCCATAGGCCTGTATAAATTTTGAGGCCCCATAAATTTTGAAGCCCTAGGTGACCGACTTGGTTGCCTTAGGTCAGGGCCGGCCCTGAACTTATAGCGGACACTTTCTCGGAGAAGGCATCCGACGGAGTCGATCGGAAATGCATTGTCCGACAGTATTTCGGTCGGCTAAGATGTAATGATGACTACCATCAAGTACTATACTATACGTTTTTTTAGGAAGAACACGAAACTTTCTTGTAGGACAGTTCTTTTTGGCGGGTAATGTTATAACTGAAATAACTGTCAACCATATTTCAGATTTTCACGCTTCTTATCAGTCTCCATTTCAACGCTACAACACTAGAACCCAAAAAAAAAAAATGTCACTCTCTTCTTCACTTGCCATTCCCTCCAATCTCCACGTCCTCTCCGCCTCGGATCCTCCATACAAGCCTCTCCATAACCACCCATCTCTAGCTCTCCTCTCTAAATGCAAAAGCATCGAAAATTTGAAGCAAATTCACTCTCAAATCATCAAAACTGGCCTCCACAACACCCAATTTGCACTGAGCAAGCTCGTCGAGTTTTGTGCTGTTAACCCTTCTGGTAACCTCTCGTATGCCCTCTCAATCTTTGATTCAATTGAAGAACCCAATCACATTATTTGGAACACCATAATTCGAGGTTACTCGTTGAGCTCCTCACCGATTCTAGCTATGGATGTTTACATCCATATGCTCTTATCAGGCGTTGAACCGAATTCGTATACATTTCCTTTCCTTTTGAAGTCTTGCGCGAAAGCCACGGCGACTCCTGAGGGGAAGCAAATCCATGGACATGTTTTGAAGTTTGGACTTGAGTGTGATGTTTATGTACATACTTCCCTTATAAACATGTATGCCCAAAATGGTGAATTGGGTAATGCACGATTGGTGTTTGATAAGAGTTCCTTTAGGGATGCTGTTTCTTTTACAGCATTGATAAGTGGGTATATATCCAAGGGCTATTTGGATGATGCTCGTCAGCTGTTTGATGAAATTCCTATCAGAGATGTGGTTTCATGGAATGCTATGATTGCGGGTTATGCACAAAGTAGCCGATTTGAAGAGGCATTGGCTTTCTTTCAGGAGATGCAAATAGTAAATGTAAGACCGGATGAAAGCACTTTGGTGAGTGTCCTCTCCGCTTGTGCTCAGTCAGGGTCACTTGACTTGGGAAATCGGGTTAGGTCTTGGATTGATGACCATGGACTTGGCTCCAATCTTCGGCTTGTTAATGCACTTATTGACATGTACTCGAAGTGTGGTGATCTGAGCACAGCTCGCAGATTATTTGATGGTCTACATAGGAGAGATCTGATCTCATGGAATGTTATGATAGGCGGTTATACTCATATGAGCAGCTATAAAGAAGCCTTGGCTCTTTTCCGGCAAATGCAGCAATCAAGTGATGAGCCTAATGATGTCACCCTCTTAAGCATACTTCCAGCTTGTGCTCACTTGGGTGCTCTTGATCTTGGCAAATGGATTCATGCCTATATAGACAAGAACTATCATAATCTACATAACACTTCTCTCTGGACAGGTCTCATTGATATGTATGCCAAATGTGGAAATATAGAGGCAGCACGACATATATTTAATGGTATTGAACCTAAAACTTTGGCTTCTTGGAATGCAATGATATCAGGGCTAGCCATGCACGGGAATGCACTTGGAGCCCTCAAGCTTTTCTCAGAAATGGCCATCGAAGGATTCAAACCAGATGACATTACCTTTGTCAGTGTTCTATCAGCTTGTAGCCATGGCGGTTTGGTTGATCTTGGCCGCCAATATTTTATTTCAATGATCCAAGATTACAATATCATACCGAAATTGCAACACTATGGATGTATGATAGATCTCCTTGGCCGAGCTGGGCTGTTTGACGAAGCAAAGGATCTGGTCAAGAATATGGAGATGAAACCAGATGGTGCCATCTGGGGTTCTCTACTCGGGGCTTGTAGAGTTCATGGGAATATCGAATTGGGCGAATATGTTGCCAGCCAACTCTTTGAATTGGAGCCCGAAAACGCTGGGGCTTATGTGCTCTTATCAAACATCTATGCTGGAGCTGGTCGATGGGAGAATGTAGCAACAATAAGAACCATGCTAAATGACAAGGGAATGAAGAAGCTCCCTGGTTGTACCTCCATTGAAGTTAATAGTGTTGTTCATGAGTTTCTCGTGAGTGACGAAACACATCCACAGAGTGACGATATATACAAGATGTTGGATGAAATAGACAGTCTTTTGGAGATGGCAGGGCATGTGTGCGATACATCTGAGGTGCTTTATGACATTGACGAGAAATGGAAGGAAGGGACATTGTCTCAACACAGTGAGAGGTTGGCAATTGCTTTCGGGTTGATCAGTACAAAGCCGGGGACAACAATCAGAATTGTGAAGAATCTTCGCGTGTGTGGTAATTGTCATTCGGCAACAAAACTGATATCAAAGATCTTTAACAGAGAAATTATCGCTAGGGATCGTAATCGTTTCCACCATTTCAAGGATGGTTCTTGTTCATGCATGGACTATTGGTGAACTAGTTTGTATCATTTAAAATTGATTATTGGTGAGGAAATTGTAATAATATATATACAGTTCACTCTAATTAACAATTACTATGTGAAAACCATAATGTTGTTGAAACCAGATCTCTATCTTTATTTATATTAAGAAGGCGGGCCATATTACATATATATCAAATTGCATTAAAGTTCAATTTGAGTACATTTAGCGTACGTTAAGATCGATTTTAGTGCTAAGCTAGTGATCATGGTTGGGTGATAGAGACTGAGCCATTCTTGAAGGAGTTTCGCCGTGCAGATGCCAAAACAGTCTTGTCTGCGACTATGAAATATGCCGCCCCAGCCGCTGTCATCAGTCACATTTTTCATTAGCACGAAAGAAAATAACAAGAAAGATGAAGGTATGGTGATAGTAGAGAGAATAATTAACCTGTGGAGATTATGAGAGCTTGAGCAGTAGGATTCAGATAGGCTTTAGCCCAAGGCAGCATCCTCACACTAGCCAACTGCATGTTCAAAATGTCATCAGTCCACAGTGTTAAAAGTGGTCAAATTATTAGTAGCAAGAGTAATGATTATTTATTTATTTTTTTTCCTAAATAAGAGTAATGATTATTATTATTTTTTTTCCTAAATAAGAGTAATGATTATTTAAGCCGAGTATGATACAAATTTGCTAAACCGACCCTTTTTTTGGATGCATTTAGGTTATACTTGAATGTATTAAAGAGAGAGCCTCATTCGTTGTTCTTTTAATAATGAAAATTAGTGTATAAAATATTTTAATAAAATTAATAAATCATAAATCTTACTTTATATTGAAGATCATAAATCTTATTCTTTTTGTTTGTGTGTGTGTGTATACAAGTAAAAAGAACCGGGAAGAGAGTAATTGTTAGAGAAAAGACTTACAGTTGGTATAGCAGTGGCAATACTAGCAACAATAGCAGCTTTAGCTCCGGAGATAACCCCCTCTGTAGTTCCAATTGGGAAAAATAAAAATAAAACCAGAGTTAGTAAGGATATTAAAACAATAGTTCTGTTAAAATTAAGGGAATTAATTAAATCAGTTTAAGATATTTCTTGATGAGAAATAAGTACTATATAATTAAATTAAAAAATAATGATAGTTTCTAGCACCAAGTCACGTGGCCTTCTATATATGACCCACTAATAATCATCAATGTTGACTGTAAGATCAGTCAAATGCTCAAAGCTTCAACTCAATACACATATATTTTTCCAGAAAATATCAGTAGACAATACCTTTTTTTATAAAAAAAGCTGAGGGCCTAAACTTTATACATGCAATTGGGAAAAGCATGACACTTTTCTTGCTAGCAGTACCAACTAGTATATACATTGGGACCATCAAGTACCAAAACTTCCTCAATGAACTAAGTATATATGCACCACAAACATGTATGTATAGAGATATATATATATATAGTTTAATTTGTGTTATCCCTTTTATCTCTCAAAGTCAAAAGTGTAAGTTTTAGTGTAAATAAGTAGATGGCAAAGTGTAAAATAAAAACAAAAATAAAAAATAAATAAATAAAATTCCAAAGAGTTAGCCTAGTTGAAAAAGATTTGGACTCTAACACTATCAGAATTGATTTCTCTTAAGTGTAAATGATTCCTTAAGGATCACGCTCGCAGATATAATCGGAATTTTATTAATCCGTGTGAGGTGCACTTTACAATGATCCCGTGAACCAATCCTATCAAAAATAAATAAAAAATTAAAAATTGGGAATATCATCATACTTGATAACAAGAGAGATAAAATGTACCATGAGAACAACGCTTGGCCATGGCTAGCTTTTGGTCGAATGAAGCCAAGCTGTTTCTTTCAAGAGGAGACTGAGCAACATTTTTGGCCATTGTAGAGAGTAGAAAAGCCAGTTAAAGAAATTATCAAAAGAAATTAAGGTGAAAATTAAAGTGGTTTGTGATGAGAGAAAATTGATCGAGAAGGTTTTTGAAGGCGTGCATGAAGAGGAGTAAAGGGTGAGTTTGGATATTTAAAGGCATTTTTGATGGTGGCAGTAGTAGTTGGTGAGAGAGAGAGAGGTTCAGGTGGTGGGATAGAGTTGGATGGTTTCAGATGATTTCTAGCGTCAGAGACACTTGTTTTCAAATTTTCACCTCGGCTTCTGTTATGGTCGGTTGATTCTTGTTGCCCTGTCCCAATTACGCCCGTAGTTTTTGGAGGGATTTTATGTTTTTCTTCTTTTTAGGTGGTAGTGTGTAACAGGGGGTGCTAGTTTTTTAGGTGTGTGTCCATTGAGCGTTAGTCCTACTTAATAACTTTAGTTTTTGAACCGAATCGTGAATCATTCATCTGTTATAATTAGTATTAGAACTAAACTCAATTCTTGATCCAGTGTTACGCCAAACGTCTAGTCCGGAGGGCATACGGGTCTGCAACCTGGATAGACAGGGTGATCTAAGCCGCAACGAGGGCGTTGCTAATTCAGGTGAAGGAAAATGTAACAAGTGGGAGTTTGTCCCACGTCTAGTCCGGAGAGCGTACGGGTCTGCAATCTGGATAGGTAGGGTGATCCAAGCCGCAACGAGGGCATTGCTAGTTCGGGTGAAAGAAAATGTAACAAGTGAGAGCTTGTCCCACGTCGAATCCGAATGAAAAAGTGAATTGGTATATATGGGTTGAGTGTTAGCCCCGTCTAATAATTTAATATTTTAAATCCAATCGTGAAACATCCACCCAGTGTGGAACTTGGACTTGCATAGTACATTACAAAATGGATGAAATTACTTTATGGTCCTTGTCTTAATTAATTTAATTAAATGAGAGAAAGAGAATAATGATCTTAAAACTTGGATGTTCCATTAATTGGACATTAAAAAAAAAAAAAAATTCAAGATATAAGTGGACAAACATATGGACTGTTTATTAGATAATTTTTTTTTAACAAAAATCCCTGTATTAAGGAGGAAATGAGGTCTGAACCGTAATACTAATAATTAAATGGCTCACCACATTCACTAGTGTATTTATGATATCAGGTTTATTAATTAATTATACTTAAATATTTCTGAATTGCTGCACAGAAGCCACTGGTTTGGAGAAAAACTTTGCCCACAAAACCATGGGTAAAACTTTCCATCATCGTCATCATCACGTGCTATTTCTGGATCTAGTGCAACCTGCCAATTAAACCCATGAGATCGAAACACGTGTCCAAAATGAACGGCTCAGATTCACGAGTTATATGCAGGTACATAGCACTAAAAGCACGTTTGATGGTTTCACCTTGTTTCATGCTTTTGGTCAGTAGCCACTAGCCACCGGTTTTATTTTTTTTGTTTTCTGGCTCCTCCCCTATCTTTTCCTTTTTAAGTTTTTTTACCACAAAATTCTTTTAAAAAAAACTTTAATAAAGCAAGAAAAGCAGATACAGAATTAAAATGCCACCTAACATTAGCAAAAGTAGTAAAAGCAAGTTTTGTCGCTTCCTCAACTATACAACCACTCAAAAATATTTTAGACCAACTCAGTTGATCAACTGTTCATTGGGCCTTCTGTGCAGCAATTCAACGAGAATTAGATGAAGGTAGCTAGCTAGACAAAGACCATCAAATTTCCATCAAGCCAAAATCCTTTTGGAATTGACTAAAGTTCAATTCTTATATAATTCACCGATTCTTATATAATTCACCGACTTTAAAGGTATAATAATAGATTGGATTCGAGTTGAGTAGTTAAGATTAAATGTTGAGTTAGATTTGAATTGATATATAAAATTAAGTTCAAATTATATTTCTAAGTATAGGAGTTGCTTCCTTTTTGTTTTGTTTTTTTTCACCGGGACGGTTATGTAGGCCGGTCTGACTCGTGTGCTTATTTTGTTGTTGGAGTCCTAGTGCCCTGTTTATTCACACTCACTTGTTTGTTCCGTAAAATTTTGAAAACAATTGGTTGTGGATAACTCTATACTAATACCATTGAGGGAGTGATCTAATTTTCTGTTCTAAATATTCAATATTCTCAAAAAAGTTCATATCTTGAATGTATTATAATTTTTTTTAAAAAAAAAATGTCAACTAAAAACTCACACTTTTTTCAAAGAATTTATTTTTACTTTTTTCTTATATAAAATTACTCAATATATCATGTAAAATTTATCGTGAAAGTAAAACAACTTTTCTAGTAATAAATAAAGACACTCTTCTGGTAAATCTTCTCATTAACAAAAATGAAATAACACTTAACATTTGTTTTTAAGTCTTTAATTGATCATGGTGAGTAGCACCATATTATTGTAGTTAAACTAAAATTTGCAGTAAATTTTAGTAATTCTGAATGTTCTGCAAAGATGGGTTGTTGTTTCATGTTGCACTTAGCATACCATAATCTAACCTTTTGGTTTTTTGGTAGGTGCCATAATCTAACTTTGTAACAAATACATGCATTTTTAGAATAGATTTTGAGATAACAACATGGATTCGCAAATTGAGTTATGGATCGAATTGTATGTGTCTAACACTTGAGAGTGGTACAATTACAAGAAAAATGAAATAATAATAATAATAATAATAATAATAATCTGAAAATATGTTTATTTAGATAGCTAATTTTGTAAACGCCGCAGTTTTAGAAAATCATTTTAATTTTTTATATTAAAACACAGATAATTAAAGAACCAAAAAAAAAGAAGAAAAAAGAGCAAGAATCATGATGAGCTTGCCATTTTTCATCTTTCTTTAATCAGTAAAAGGACATACGAATGCGGGATATGAAAGTGGTGGATCATATGAAAAAAAATAAAAAGAAAAGCTGGTAGACATGCATGTTGACAAAAAGAAAAGAAAAAAAAAAGGATAGGTTGAGAGTAACTTTATAATTTATTATTTTTCCCATCATTGAGAAAGTAATAATGGCAATCACATGAGTTCATGAGTTCTCATAAGGAAAAAACATAGCTAGGGACTATAATGGGCTACTTGTGGCTTTACAGATCGATATACACAACAACTATATGTTATAAGGTAGGTTTCGGTCCAAATCTGCTACTTCTCTTTTCAGTAATTTAGTGCTTAAAAGTTGCAACTTCAGAGTGAGAAAAAAACACACATTTATATGTACATAGTTAAGTGACTTGTTCACATTTTTTTTCTTTCTAATATGATCGGGTTATCAAACTTGATGATATAGGTTCGAGTTATAATAAGAGTTGTGTTATGTTAATTACCAAAAAAAAAAAAAAAAAAGTTGTGTCATGCATAATCGTAACTGTTGTGAGTGTGCAAGATAACCAATTCCCATAATGAGATCACATGATCCAAAGTAAGTGATTATGTCATTGTCGTCTGATTCCATGCCAACCTTCTCAATCCTCTTCTTTCACTCAATTGTATCATTCAATATAGATCTACTTCTTTTAAGGTTTTATTTTTTAAGAAACCTTTCTCTATGAATATTGTGTTTTTTTCTTTTTCTATTTTTGTGTGGATGATGGTGGTGTCGAACTTCTTAAAGTATCTCATAATCTTTTATCATGTAGATGTTGTCTCCTTATTCCACATTTACCGAGCAATTATTAAAAAAAAAAATTCTGATGGTAGCCCTTTGAAGATTTGAATTCTCAACTTCTAAAATGTGAAGCAAGAATCTTTATCATTACGCTATCCCTGTCTCTTTTTATTCTATGAAATGCCAAAAATATATATAAGTTTCATGGATCCTATGTATGTAACATGCACTCACAATAAAATAAACCGTGTAAACAATATTCTTGGCAATTAACCTGCTCATAGTTTCATACATTATCCAAATCTTTATGATTAGCTAGCTAGGAAAAACAGAGAAAAACAGCTCCTTTTTTTTCTTTTCTTTTTTTCTCTTCTGGGTCATGTCATACATGATATGTGCTTAATTGCTGTCCTGTTTATATCTATTTTATATATCTATAGCTAAAAGTAGTCAAAATGATGAGGGATCTGAAATGGTGCATCTCTTTCTTTCTTGCTCAACTTTGGCAAGATGGCTCTACTCCTTGTCTTGTGAAGAACATCATTAGGGACCTCAGGTGGCCTAACGGACCTAATCAGAGCCCAATTCACACCCTTGAAGAACTCATGCCTCTTGATCTCCACAGAACCCTTCAAGCTTCCAATTCTCTTCTTTGGATTCTTCACTAATAACTTGCTTATAAGGTCTTGAACTTTCACCATCTCTTCATACTCTTTGCTACTACTAACTCCTATTCTTGGGAACACCAGTGGCTGCTTTAAGATGTTAATGAGAGTCTTCTCATTGTTCTCTCCTTTGAAAGGTGTCTTACCATACAAAAGCTCATACAACAACACCCCAAATGTCCACCAGTCCACTGCACTTCCATGGCCTTGCCCCGATATCACCTCCGGCGCCAAGTACTCGTGGGTCCCCACGAAGGACTTGGATCGAGCGTTGATCGGTTCAGTCACCAGTTCTGGATCATATTCTTGAACCTGATGATGATCAACATGCGTTGTGATTGTTGTGACGGCCTTGGCTTTGTTCTTTTTCTTGTTGGAATAAGCTGAGAAACAAGAGAGCACAGGCTGCATTGGAATTGCACAAGAGGGTGTTGAGTCCTTTGTGCTCTTACAATCAGTGCTAGCCTCCGGGTTAGGTTTAGGCCTCCTAACAAGCTCCGGGACGAAGTCGCATTTGAGAGAGAGATCGAAATCTGAGAGCATGATGTGACCATCTTCTCTAACGAGCACATTTTCTGGCTTAAGGTCTCTATAAACAACACCCATCATGTGAAGATACTCTAGGGCTAAGAGTGTCTCAGCAGCATAAAACCTGTAATTTTATAGCTGAGTGAGTGAGTGGTTTTATAATAAAAAGTGACAAAACACAACCAACTTGGTGCATATTTAATAATACACATTTTTACAATGTCAATATTATTCAGACCTAATAGTCTAATTGATAAGACTAGTAAGTGAATTTGTATCCTCCCATGCATGTTGGCCAAACTAGGAATAAAAATTCCTCCACTAACCTTCTCAGTTAGGCTATTTTCACTCTCTTTAAAAACAGTTATAGTAAAAATAAAAAAAAACAGTTGTAGTGTTCATTTCAGATAACTAAACCAAACAGGCCTGATATTTAAAAATTTCCGGACAAACTTACTTAGCTGAAGAAATGCTAAATCGCTTCGTGGGTTGGCGTTGGCGGGTGGCATGCAAGTCACCGCCGGGACAAAACTCCATAACCAAGCAAGAGTAGTGAGAAGCATCAAACTCAGCATACAGAGTAGGTAGAAATGGGTGATCAAGCATACCCAAAATCTCTTTCTCCATCTCTGCTCTTTGTAGCTTCTTCCTTATGGCAAGTGCTTCTCTGTCCACAACTTTCATGGCATAGAAGCACTGTGGCAACCCCACAACCGGGTTCCGGATCTGGCAGAGGTAGACGTTTCCGATGTCGCCGCTGCCGAGCCGGCGAAGGAGGCGGAAGTGATCTAAGCTGACTCGGCCTTTGTCGGTTCTGAGCCTCTTCATGGCTTCCCATGCGGCTTGGTTGGCCTTGTGAGGCTTGTGACAGTTAGAGAAGTAGTTGTCGCCGTAGGAGCAAACGGAGATGGAGCTCCGGCTGCCAAAGCTGAGGTTGCTCATCCAGCTCCGGCTGGAGTCCGGCACCGTAATGGAAGAACAGCTGCTGTCATAGTCGGATTCATCTCGGGCTATGGTTGCCATCATGGTTGGGGAACATGTATGAGGTTTCTCTTGCTTTATGAGCCTTTATATATACAAACACTTTGTGGGTATTAGTAGATTATGTTTTTTAAGTATTTAAACTAATTAGAAAGTTACAAAGTCATACTTTTTCTTATAGAAGAGTCTGTTTGATCAAAAAAATATTAGCCATCTAAAGTGCCTTTGTTTCAAGTTATTAATTTATATCACTTTTGTCACATGATATCATATCACAGTGTTGCCATTTTTATATTAGTCCAATTAATAATTGATTATCTGATGTGCGCCAAAGAAAATATTAGGCAAAAAAAAAAAAAAAAAAAAGTCAATATTGTCTTTGTATTATAATAACATTTTATACAATGGAAGAGCTAGTAAAGCTATTATTTTATAAAATTTGATCTCTCTTGAAAAAAAAAATATTAAAGATATTGTTAAACATACACGCTAAATATTAGAAGACATCAACGAAATAAATGTTTTATGGTGCAAAGAATGAGAACTTTATATATATGGGACTTACTTCCCTTTTCTTTTTTTTTCTTTTTTTTGGTGTGTGTGTGTGTGTGTGTAAGCTTTGTGATCTGCTGAATTAAAATGTACCAATATTCCAAACTTTTAAGAACCAATTGACCTAACACTGACCAAAATAAAAGGACTTTATGTCCGTTATGCTAGATACAGAGAATAATAATAAAGCGGTTGTTGCTTGAAATTTGAATATAACCTACCCATTAAAGAGGCTGTTGGTTGAATATATAAATACATATACATAGGTACATATATTATATGTACATCACTAAAGTCCATGACACAACTCAGCTTTAATTTTTACTTATTTAGATGAGAAAACATTTTTTTGACCCGAGAACACTTTCTTCCTTCTCAACATACCACCAAGTTTATGTAAAATCTATCATTTTTTCTTTTTCTTTTTATATGAATGTAGGAATTGTCTTTCTACGTTTGACGGTCAAAGGGTCCTTATCGTTTCTGTTGAAAGCTACATACGCAATCCTCTTTTAATGGTAGTTTCAAGGTAAAGTCAGGGGGCTTTCTGTAATTTTATACAAATTTTTGCAGTAATAATAATAATTGCGTTTGATGAAGGTGTAAAAAGCTGGAGAGTACACGAAGCACCCGTGCCACATTCATTTCCACCTCACATGTATATATTATAATATATACATATACATATAATGTATGTATATATCAATATATGTGTTCTTTTTAACTGTTAATTTTTGTATATATTTATGGTGTGCTTGTGATGCATGTGAAGCCATGTAGGGAGGGGACCTGTATTGAGCCTGGATCCGCGGCTACACACATGCCACTGATGTTGGTGTAGAAAGTAGTAGTAATTGACGCAAACCAGCTCAAAAGAGTAGATTGGTCTTACTTCTTACTGGATGAGGTAAATTTGGCTTTATTTTCATATATTTGTCTACATATATGACATAAACATGTATCATCTGGTTTACCATTCACTTCTAATGAGAAAAGATGACAGCATATCTAAGTCAGGATGATGGAGAATAAGTTACTGATGATTATGGAGATCATTTGAATCGACTATTTGAATCATTAGAAGACCAAACAGATATTAACATCTTTCAAAATAGTTTTGATGGGCTTGTTTTGACACAAAAGACTAATTATTGATCAGATTCGAGCCAACGATCAATACAAACAAGATTCTCTTGTGATTTTCGGCCAAATTTCTTAGTTTAAGGTTCCGAAATTGCATTTTAGCTTTCCATGTGTTTTACTTAAAGATTTTTTTTATTATTATTATTAATACATGTAGGCAATGATTAGTAATTAGTTGAAGGAGAGAAAAATTAATCGAACCTGAGACCAATGGAATGAGACCACCTTAGGCTTGGCCCTTTTATAAGTGGGGTAATACCGTCACACCTATTAATAATATTTTCAAAAGTCTCTTAACCTTTTGAAAATTTTGGATTCAAAGTTAACGTTCATAACTTGGGTTTCATCACATGATTCGCTTGTATGAAAATTAGTAATAAGATAGAGAAAGAATGGAACAAAATCCAATATCAATATTGAGTTGTCTTAGGTTAGTTTGTAGGAATTTTTAACGATAACGGGCATAAAGTACAACCAGAGAAGCTTCCATTTTTGAAAATAAGCCCATCAATAAGAGATGTGAAATAAAGTGCCAATAACTCAGGTGAGCTATTAAACTCCCTAGCTCCTTTTCTTCACCTTCACTAGTTTATACTTAATACTTGCCTCTTTGTATACCATGTATAAATTTCACTTATAATGACCATTTTTGATGCAGAATATTATCTGTCATATACATATATATATATATATATACACACACATAAGTATGAAATATCCCATCCCACATTGGTGATCTAATGGGCCCAGAAGTACGGTTGATGATCATCACCATAATCACACCATCCATCAAAATGTCCCCTCAGTAGAACATCAAAATATATTATGGGTTGATTTTATTTTATTTTTGTCATTCAAAGACTCAAATGTCTAAATGTCTGGCCAAACTAAACTAAAACTAAAAAAAATATAAACCCAAACTAAAAAAAGACATACAAATCTTGAAGCAAAGCAAATAAATGAAGAACAGGCTCTAAATTTGTGGAGGAAATAGAGTTCAACACTCTACAAACTGAACCACCATGAGAGAAAGTAGCAAACTGGAAAGATCGAAATGTCTGGCCATCAGCATGGCAACCGCTCCAAAGGTACAACTACAAGGTGCTCCGACACAAGAAACCCCGCACAAGATCCAATCAAGGAGAAAATGATCAAATCTAAGCGGGGAAAAATACAAAACCGGCCTAGATCAGAGATCTAGTCGGAGAAAAATAACAAATCTTCCTAGGTGAACCGAAAACAAAACAAACGAAAGTAGATCTAGCCAAACAAAAACAAAAACAGCTTAAAAAAACACCTACGGAACACACTTATTCAAACACGCTGAATTTATTGCAACTGTGGAGTTTCCGTTAATATATAAGGTTGGACATATTTTTTTGATAAAAAAGATTTTATCCTTAGTATCTTCCAAAAAAAAAACAATACAACATGTTTCAATTGTCATATTTCCATTCGTTTCTCCCCTTTTCTCTGCAGGATCTTATCAGTTTTCCTTTTGGTTGCAATTCAGGCGGCATACCCGGCAATAGTTGCAGCAATGCAGTGTGGCAAATATATTGAAACTCTCAAACCTCCATAACCTGCCCCATACATTCTTCTCCCCCTACCAAATCTTAATTTTCAAATCCGCCTTCATTTCTTTTCTCTTGTCTTTTGACTTGGAACCAAATTAGGGACTAGTTTCAACTACCAAAATTCAATTATTTTAATCAGTGGATATCAGACAGATGGTATAATCTCTCCTCCTTAAAAAAAAGAAAAAAAAAAAAAAAAAAAAAAAAAAGAAAGATTGAGTATTCGAGCCTAGCAATTTTGTGGATGTGTGCATTTTTCTTTAAACTTTCAAGGAAAAAAAATTTTAAAAATCAATTATTCTATTTACCGTTCAACTTGTTATCATCTATACTTCTTAAAAACATCGGAGTAAAGTTATGAATATTCATAAATAACAAAGTTGTACTTTGAATCCACAAAATTAAGAGAAAAATGCAAAGCAATATGATATATTATTGTTAAAATGAATTTTGACTAAGTTCAGCTGCATGGAATTAGAGTATTAGAGTTGGTAGAACTGGAAAAAAAAATTTAGTTCAAAGTTGCGCCAATTTTTTTTTTTTTTAATTCTGCAAATTCTAATTTCAAGTTTACAATTTCATACAACCGAACACAATCGATATTTGTTAGTTTTAGAATTAGAATTGATGAAATTTAAAAAAAATTAGTTCAATTTTTCAGAAAAAATTAACCCGGTAGAGAATTGTGTTTAGAACTTGAAAATAAACAATTTATGGATTGAAAAAGATGGTGATATTCGTTTGAATCAATAAAAATCAATCAGAGAAAGCAATGGAGGAGGACAGATTTCAGAAGATAGTACTAGTACTATAGAATCATTATCCCAACTGCAAACTTCCACTCCTTCAATAATGTGCAAAAATGCACTGACCAAAGATGGACAATCTGACAACCCCACAATACCACATATGAAACAACCAAACAAAAAATATAGAAAATCCCAATATATATATATATATATATATATACTATATATCAGCAAATATTGATAATGAGAAGCATAAATTTCAGTGAAAGTGGACAAATTTTAAAAAAAGAAAGACATGGATGCATATAACTGAGGAACTGCACTGATCTTTCTTTCTCTGTTTATAGCATAGCCATTGTCTGGGACAAATCATCATGGGCAGCTCCAACCCATGGGGTCAAAGACATTTATTTTGTTTTATGTTATGATCAGTTGGTTTGAATATATTATATATGCTAATGTATATATTTATGTCGGTCCACACACTCCTCACCAAAATGGATGCACATGGTTTAGTAAAATTAAACAAGAGAAATCTTATCCTTAAACATTATTGAAAAAAAAAAAATAATATGCTTTCTTTTGTTCAAATAGTTCATATACTTGGGTCTAGCTGATTGTGCGAGATAATTCGATAAAAATCAATATATAAATTATTTATTTAATTTAATTCTAATTACTATTTTATCCATACATCATGTTCAACTCGACACTATAGATGTTATGAATCTAATCTTTATTTTTTTTATTTCATTGTAAAATCATATTTGCTGTTATTATCATATTCTAAGATTTAATTTGTTATCTTGTCAATTCTATATTTGTTCAAATTGTATAAAATAATGAAAAAATTTCCTTAACAAGATTGTTGAGATATCTTTAATCTAGTGAGATATGACATATGAAGTCTTCTCCTCTTTATGTGAGACTCTGGGGCCTAATTCAGCTAACTGGTTGTCTAGTTGGTTGGGAACATAAGAAAATGAAGGAAACGATTGCTTACCATAAAAAGTTGCAGAAAAGCAATACATGATAGATTGATGGATATGAAATGTTTTTGCTTCGCGACAATGTAGCTCAAAGTTTTTATTTATTTCATCCACCGGTAATATCACCATTCGAATGAGACTAATCCCCTAGACACACATAACACTTTCAAAAACGTTCAGGTATAATATCCGAGTGAATAGTTGATAAAATTATATATAGAAGAATAGAAGAAATGAATAATTCAAGGGTGTGGTTCTTAGTGACCAAAAACCATCCTCCACTGGATTTAAAGTTTGTAGTTGAAAAATACAATGCATCTAATCTAATAATCGTAAAGCTTACTGGCTTCTGTAATAAATTCAGTGATGAAAGAATAATGTCTCCTTTTGTTTAAGAAAGGCACATGTGAAAAGACATACCCAACCTCAAAACCTTCAATAGGTCACCAGGTATGAGAGACGAGCATGCTAAGCAATAAACTTCAGGATATCAATTTGGGTTCCAGTGCTAAGCAACAAACTTGAGGATATCAATTTTTATTGGGCCATCTCAAGAAAATCTATTTGTATTAGGCCAACTCAAGATTGATTCACCCCAATAAATTACATCCACTTTATTCATAGTCAATATACAGTATATTTATAAATATATATGGAAATCAATTTTAATTTTTGATTTGTACAACAAGCCTCATATCAAGTAAATAAGCAAATAAGAAATCAGAAGACTAGACAAAACTGGGTAAACAATTAAGAATTGTCTCCTGAACTGCTTCTCCTTTCTCTAATATCATAGCATAAGCAAAGTTTACAAACCATATCAGAAGTGTTTATATATTAGAGATTTAAATAAGAACAAAGGAATAATAACTCAGAAATTGACCATGAACACGTATAAATTAGTTTGCAAACAATATTGTACAATTTGGCAGTTTTCTCTTTGGCCGTAAGCTATAGAAGTTTGTTAGCTATTATCGTGCTTCAACCCCAGAGAATGTCAAGCCATTGGAACACGGTTTTCGCCCTCTTCCAGGCGAATAAACATCCATTACAATTAAGTGAGTAGAAAAGGCAGGCTGCTTCGGTGTAGGTAAACTTGTTCTTTCATTGCTAAGCATTGAAACAACATCCGACATGGTTGGCCGATCTTTTGCACTTTCTTGGATGCATAACAGAGCGACCTGGATGCATCCCATAAGTTCATCCACCAGACATGAGTTAGCAAGTGTTGGATCCATCAATTCCATACCTTGACCATCTTTCCACAGATCATAAGCCTTTCATTTTCACATTGGAATATTGAAATGAATGTACTAAGTGTCAGACAAAAAAACATTATTATGCTGAGTTTAACGTGTAAACTAAAGAGTGTGGGACAAATAAATATATAGAAGAGTTACTCACATAACCTAGCAAGTTCAAAGAGCGGTCCGATTCATAAAAAGAAGTGTTCTTCCTGCCACTAATGACCTCCAGCATAATGACTCCAAAGCTAAATACATCAGATTTTGCAGAAAAAATGCCGTGAACTGCATATTCTGGAGACATATAACCACTAGTCCCAGTATTTTAAAGAAGTGTGTTAATATCTGAAGAAAATTTACATGTGTTCTTGTAACAATGCCAACATGTATAAATGAATTTGGGCTTAAACTTGTATGAATGTTCGTGCAGTGCATGATCAAATAAATATGAATCACTACTAGGGCTGTAGCCTATTGGTATGTCCTTGCCTTCCAAAGTAAAAGGTCGAGAGTTCAAGTCCCCATGGGGCAAAGTGGGTGTGTGTCTTGCCAAAAATAAAAAATAAGAATCACTCACTATGTTCCAACAACCCTCTTTGTTTTTGCTCGAGAATTATCTTCATTCAAGATTCTTGCCATGCCAAAATCTGATATTTTGGGGTTCATGTAATTGTCCAACAATATGTTGCTGGTTTTGAGATCTCGATGAATAATTCTTAATATGGAGTATAAGTGAAGATAGAGAAGACCTTGAGCAATCCCTTCAATTATGTGTACGCGCTTTCTCCAGTCTAGTATACTTCTCTTGGATGGATCTGCACCACTTGTATGTCAATCAAATCAAATGGACAAAAGCTAAAGTCAAAGAAAAAGATATGCATAGATGAACTATAAATATTGACAAACCAAAAATGAAAGAATCCAAGCTGTTGTTGGGCATGTACTCATAGATTAATATCTTTTCTTCTGGTTGAATGCAATAACCCAAAAGCCTGACAAGATTCCGATGCTGGAGCTTGGAAATTAGTTGAACCTCATTTCTGAACTCCTGTAGTCCTTGTCCGGATAATCTAGAAAGTCTTTTCACTGCAATATCATATCCTAGTAACTTGCCCTGCAACAACCAGATATGCTTGTAATTTCTTTAGCATAAAAACTAGAATGTACAATAATGATACACTAGTATCAGAAATTTCAGTGTCAACTAATATAATGCCATAACATGTCGCTTCTTCTTCTTTTTTCCTTTTCTTTTTTTTTTTTTTTGGGGGGGGGGGGGGGGGGGGGGGGGTGTGGAAACTGTGATTAGGGTTCAGTAGCAGACCATAAATACCTTGCCCCTGATTCCTAAGCATTGACACAAATCATATATCACCACATACACATAGTGGTTATGCTTTGAATAAAATACTATTACAAAAGAATGCAGAGGAGACAATCAAATCGTACATGTACTTCCCATTTTTAAGACAAAAGTAAGCAATGAATTCATTCATCGTTTTGGCCATTTTGCGTAATGATACCTTATAAACAGGACCAAAACCACCCTCTCCAAGCTTATTTGCATTAGAGAAGTTATCGGTAGCTGTTGCTATGCAAGAAAAACTGAGCAGTGGCAATTCATGACCCTTCTTCCTGCTGAGTTCAATACCATTTGCGTTGTTACCTTCATCAACAGCTGCAAGGTTAGTACCAAACTGAAACAATAATAGTGACGCGCTCTCCCTTATGGCATCTTGTCTCCCAGTCATATCTGGACCATATCACAAAGATATTCCAGTTAACATTGTGTGATTAGTATTATAAAGATGTGTAGGCTAGTGTATAAAATCGATAAGAGTACCTATACAGCTGTACTTTCTCCCTCGTAAATAGCACCATACAAATATGAGCATAAGCATTGCGAAGGAAACCACTGTAACTATAACAATCAGCAACAGCCTCCTCTTCTCTTGAATATCTGCAGGGAATATAAAGAAACAAAACCTTTCCCTCTGAGTTATGCAAATTGACGATTTAAATTAACCCTTCATCACTTTAATAATGTCAATATTAATGGATGTTAAAAATTTAGGCATATGTGGCAGTGGTATGTTGATCTAGGTAAATATGTTTTAGCTATCAAGTATTAAACACATTACGTACAGTAGTCACACATGATATTTAAATTTTTGTATTGAAACCTCCTAACAAATTAGCAGTTCAAGTAAAGAGAAAGATAGGAGTTGAAATGCCATATGGCTCGATTCGTATCATTTGTTATGAGTGTCCAAATAACTTGAGATAGTGTTCATTGATCATAAAATGCCTTCATATTCTCAGTAAGGCTTACCAGAATTTGTAGGAGAATCCCCGCGGACATAGATAAGGTTGTCATTGCCTTTTCCTATTAAGTCAAAAAGATCTTTTTTGTCCCCATAATAAAGCTCACATCCTGTTCCATCATCGCGAAGAGAAGCATAAGCAGTACAGGAACAATTGCTTCTGCACATAATCTCGCAATCACTTGGACCCATACGAACTGATGCACTTAAAATCATCGAATTTGGCATAGAACCTCTGATCTCCGAGAACTTATCATTGTCTCCACACACGGATGGCATTGGTATCAAACAACCTTTAGATTTCAAAAGCGATTCGCCTGCACATAGAGTGTGATAGACAAATGCAACCCCGTGATCCAACATAGTGAATTCATTGATTTCCCCGGTTGAAGTCAATACAAACCAGGAAAAACTATCATTTCCTTTATTATTGAATGTAAGGTAGATCTCCTTGCTGCTGGATACATAGGTGAAATTGTAACTGGCTGACTCAAAGAATAATCTGAACCTATGACCATCCCAGAAACCGATCTGTCGAAACACAAGATCTCTACGCCAAACTTTGAAGACCGTCTTATTATTCGTATCCGGACCTAAAGCAAATGGTCCGGTAGTTGGGACCAATGGACTTACCCATGAAACGAGATACTGTGTCCTCATGTGATCAGTGTCTAAATTGAAGAATCCCAATTTCATGCCAGGCAGAAATGTATCAGATGGATAGTTAAAACTCTGCCACACAATCTTCTCTGATTCTGTAAGAATCAGGTTACCCGAATCAAGAAGCTTGGCGCTTGTGTTACTACTAGTCGCAAGCATTCCATAGTTTACTATTATGGGTATCCGCCTAACGTCCGTGATCACCAGGTTCCCATCATACCTTATTCTTAGAAACCCTGAGGAGTCCAAAATGGGATTTTCGCGGTTTGCTACCCAAACTGGTTTCTTGTACTGGTCATTCTTGAACCAAATTCCCAAGTAGTGATTGCTGCTTGATGATCCACCTGAGCTGAAAAAGCCTAATTCAAACACCCCACGAGCAGAGATTAAGGTTTCATTGTTTCTCAATCTGTCTCCAGGACAGAGGGTGTCTGTTGAGGTAGACTGACCAAAACATGCCAAGTAGCAACACGAATTTACAACATAAACTAGAAAAGCTAATCCTTTTGCCACTTTTGTGTTAGCCATTACAGAGAGGTTACTGGTCCAAACAAACTGCAGATTGTAGACAATAAGCATTACATTAAAAGATAGCATTAAAATTTAATGTAGATAACAAAAATAAAAATAGGTTACAGATCCAGAATTGACTTAATTATATTCATAACGTGCTATAGTCTATATTCTATAATAAGTATACACTTCAATCACTTTGACAAGTTTTATATATATATATATATATATATATATAGATATTAAGAATAAGAATGAAACCCAGATCCCAGTCTTCTTTTAAATGCCACAGCAGCACTAACTCACCATGTTACAAACTAAGTAGACAATAAATGAAACAAATCACACAATCAAAAACATAACAATTTGACTGCCTAACTTGACTATTCAAACAAAAAAAAAAGTCTAAATCAATGTTCTTTCTAACATTAAATTATAAAATAATTTTATTGCTATGGTCAAATAGAAATCGATTTGCGTACTTTTTACCGTCATCTTCGCCGACCCAATTCAACTCTCAAGACACTACTTTCAGTGGAATTCCTTTTGACCTTCATTTTATATAAACTTGTAATTGCAAAAAGTTGTAAGCCATAGAAATGATAGAATAGAGCTTAAAATATGTCAGATGTAAGTTTTTTGAGCTTTATTTTGAAGAGTAATGAGTACCTGATCTAATAAAAGACTAGTCCCTTTTGGCAGCTAGGCGAGCTAGACAGTTAGATAAAGTCCCTTTTGGCGCCTTGGCGACTAAGGCGAGACGGGACTAGAAGGAAGAGGCCATCCCATTGGACCACAAACCCTAACCTGTAATGGAGGGTTTTGGAGAATAGGCATCTGTTTGTAATGAAAACGAATCTGGTTGGGGAGTACTCTTTGGCGCTTGCCCCACCAGTGGATATTGTGTATGGCATATGGGTCTTGTGTTTCTCTTTTGGGGTGGTGCTCGAGTTGCTTTTGGCGACTGTCGTTGCCTCTTCTGATCGATTTGTTGCTTATTCCGGAGTTCGCCGGTTCCTATGGAAGTTTGTCAGCGAATTTGGGGCCATCGATGAGTCGGCTTGGCGTCGGTGCTTATTTCCTCGGTTCGGAGGGGTGCGCTGTCATGGATGACGTGTTGAATGCTTCATGTGGAAGCTGCATATTGGAAGCTGAATATTGTGACGTCATGTATGCTGTTTCCACACGATCTTTTCTCTGCAATAGTTTTGCTAATCTTTTGTCTAAGGCGGTGCTGCAACTGACATATCGCGGTCTGAGTTTTACTGCGTTGCAGCTTTTTCTTGTACGCCTTGTTCTGACGTTTGTGGCTCCGGTGGCTTGGCACAGTGGATACGCGGCTTTGGTCGCACATGATGTGACGGTTGCTATGGACCTTGTTGGTGGTAAGGTTGGAATGCGATCTGAATCTTTTGAAAAGTCTAGAGCTCATCTTGCGGCTAGGATTTATAAACTTCAGAGTCCTCCCAATCTGTTGCTGTGACTCAGCTAGTTTGCTTGTGGGTGTTAGTACGCCCACAATTACTGGCATCTTTTAGACTTAGGCTCTTGTCAAGACCGAGAGCTTGACAGGGGTGTTATATGATTTAGCTAGCTTTTTGATATTGTGTGTAGTTCTTGTTTAGTTTGTGATGGTTGATCCTTACCTTGTAGATGTTGTATCACTTTGACGCTTTTCTTGTCAGGAAAAATAAATAAATAAATAAATAAAGCCTTAAACATTCAACCCATGTTTGAAAAGAACGAATACTATACCATTTTTTTTTTTTTTTACCCCATCAACAACACTATGTCAGTATTCAAAATAAAGTCAAAAGTGAAGAGATTTTAGATTTTCTTTTTTTTTTTTTTTCTTTTTTTTTTTTTTTTATATGAGTCACAATTTTGAAGATAAACATCTATTTTTGTACGGATACAATATATATTTTTAGTAACGAGTAACGATAGTTACACTAAAGTCATGTACTGAATTATTAAGCAGAATGATGTGACAGTCCAGTTGATTTTTTACTAATCTACTTATTCACGTTTACTATTCACTATTCCTAATTTTAGAAACTTCTCTGTCGTCCCCAATTAATTTGTAACATTTTTTTTTTTTCTTCCGATTTAATGCGATATGTAACAACTTCAAATGTTTTAGCTTTTTGCCGATACGATATAGTATTCGTTCTTTTCAAAAATAATATATTAAATCATAAGGTAAAGTGCAAAAAACTTCCTTGAACTATATTTGAATTTACAAATAACCCCCTTAAACTATAATTTGTGCATAAAACCTCCTAAACTATCTCATTTTGTTGCAACATATCCCAAGGACTATACTATATTTCATTAAATAACTATAATGCCCTTTCTTATTGAATTACATTTAATATATTTTTCTTATCTAACTAAATGATGAAAATATTCATATTAATTTGATGAAATATTTTTCATTAAATTTGCATAAATTGACCTTTAATTTTTTTTTTTAATGAATTATTTAAATAAAAAAATTTAGTAGAAATTTTTTTAAATTTTTAATGAATATATTACATGAAAAGAATGTATTTTTTTCAAATGTATTTTATTAATTTTTCATCAATATATTGTACGAAAAAAAAAGATATTTTTTTACGATAAAAATGTTTAAATTGGTTATAATACGTTTTATTATAAATAATAAAGTTTTAATAATAAGTTAAACAATTTAGAAAATGGTAGTTACAAATCTATTTATCTATTTTTTTTTTTCATTTTTATGATAAATTGATACTAAAAATAAAATGAAGGTAAATAGTATAATTAATATTTTCATAAGAGAAAAGATAATAAAAATAATTTAATAAGAAACGAAAATTTTAATGAGAAATGGTAAAATAGTCTTTTGTGATGGATTTGTTCTTAATTGTAACAAATCAATAGTTCAGGGGCGATTTTTAGTTCAGTGGGTTATTTGCAAAAGGGCAATAGTTTAGGGGGGTTTTTTTGCACTTAACCCTAAATCATATAATTATTCATCTTAAACCATTGCATACCCACCCATTTATACCAAATCACTTTCTCATTCGGATCCGATATGGGACAAATGACCCTTGTTACATTCTCCCCCCACCTAAACTCGCAACGCCTTCATAGCGGCTCGGGCCACCCTGCCTATCCTGGTTGGCTCACCCGGGCACTTGGCGTGATACCGGATCAAGAATTGGGTCTGGTTCTGATATTAACTATAACGGGTAAACGCTTACCCATTTACCCAAAAACTCAAGTTGTTGGGTAGTGTTACATACCCACCCATTTATACCCAATCACTTTCCCATTCAAATTCGATGTGAGACGAATGACCCTTATTACACCGAGGCAAGCGTGTAATCAATAAAACAATTTTTATAAATATTTATTGAAATAATTCTCGTATCAAGTAAATAAGCAAAATAAGAAAACAGAAGACTATTATTATCAGAAAAAAATAAAAATTGGAATGGTAAAGGTAAAGGTAAAGGTAAAGGTAAAGGAAAAGTAAATATACACACATCCTTTTTTCCACACCATTGTACGCTTTAAAGACTATTACAAAATTTTATCGCTAGACAAAACTGATTAAAAAATTAAGAAATGTCTCCTATAAACACAAATAAAATACTAGTAGTTTGTAAACAATATTATACAATTTGACAGTGTTCTCTTCCCCGAATGCCATAGAAATTTGGTAGAGCTATTATCGTGCTTCAACTTCAGAAAATGTCGTGTCATTTGGCAGACGCTTACCCATTTACCTAAAAGCTCAAGTTGTTGGGTAGTATTACATACCCACCCATTTATACCCAATCACTTTCCCATTCAAATTCGATGTGAAACGAATGACCCTTATTACACCGAGGCAAGCGTGTAATCAATAAAACAATTTTTATAAATATTTATTGAAATAATTCTCGTATCAAGTAAATAAGCAAAATAAGAAAACAGAAGACTATTATTACCAGAAAAAAATAAAAATTGGAATGGTAAAGGTAAAGGAAAAGTAAATATACACACATCCTTTTTTCCACACCATTGTACGCTTTAAAGACTATTACAAAATTTTATCGCTAGACAAAACTGATTAAAAAATTAAGAAATGTCTCCTATAAACACAAATAAAATACTAGTAGTTTGTAAACAATATTATACAATTTGACAGTGTTCTCTTCCCCGTATGCCATAGAAATTTGGTAGAGCTATTATCGTGCTTCAACTTCAGAAAATGTCGTGTCATTTGGCAAACGCTTACCCATTTACCTAAAAGCTCAAGTTGTTGGGTAATATTACATACCCACCCATTTATACCCAATCACTTTCCCATTCAAATTCGATGTGAAACGAATGACCCTTATTACACCGAGGCAAGCGTGTAATCAATAAAACAATTTTTATAAATATTTATTGAAATAATTCTCGTATCAAGTAAATAAGCAAAATAAGAAAACAGAAGACTATTATTACCAGAAAAAAATAAAAATTGGAATGGTAAAGGTAAAGGAAAAGTAAATATACACACATCCTTTTTTCCACACCATTGTACGCTTTAAAGACTATTACAAAATTTTATCGCTAGACAAAACTGATTAAAAAATTAAGAAATGTCTCCTATAAACACAAATAAAATACTAGTAGTTTGTAAACAATATTATACAATTTGACAGTGTTCTCTTCCCCGTATGCCATAGAAATTTGGTAGAGCTATTATCGTGCTTCAACTCCAGAAAATGTCGTGTCATTGGAACATGGTTTTCGCCCTCTTCCGGGTGAATCAACATCCATCACAATTTAAGTGTGTAGAAAAGGCAAGCTGTTTTGGCATAGGTAAACTTGTTCTTTCACTGCTAAGCATTGAAACAACACCCGACATGGTTGGCCGATCTTTTGCACTTTCTTGGATGCATAACAGAGCAACCTGAATGCATTCCATAAGTTCATCCACCAGATCTGAATCAGCAAGAGTTGGATCCATCAATTCCAGGCAACGACCTTCTTTCCCCAGATCATAACCCTTTTCATTTCCACATTGGAATATTGAAATGAATGTAAAAAGTGTCAGAGAATAGAACTTTATAAAGTTAGTGTTTAGTGTATATACTGCAGGGTGTCAGACAAGAAAATATATATAGACAAAGGCTTGGAGAAGATACTTACATATCCTAGCAAATTTGAAGAGCGGTCCGATTCATAAAAGGTAGTGTTCTTCCTGCCACTTATGACCTCTAGCATAATGACTCCAAAGCTAAATAGAGAAAATGCCGTGAACTGCATACTCTGGAGACATATAACCACTAGTTCCCAGTATTTTCAAGAAGTATGTTAAAATATGAAGAAAGTGCTTATATTAAAATATGAAGAAAATGCTTATGAGTGTTATGGTAACCATGCCACACATGTATAAATGAATTTGGGCTTGTACTTGTGTGAATGTTCGTGCAGTGCATGATCAAATAAATACGAATCACTTACTATGTTCTAACAACCCTCTTTGTTTTTTCTCGTGAATTATTTTCATTCAAAATTCTTGTCATGCCAAAATCTGATATTTTGGGGTTCATGTAATTGTCCAACAATACATTGCTGACTTTGAGATCCCGATGAATAATTCTTAGAGTATTTGTGAAGATAGAGAAGACCTGACCAATCCCTTCAATTATGTTTACATGCTTTCTCCAATCTAGTATAGTTCCCTTGGATGTATCTGCACCAGTTGTGCATCAATCAAATCATATGGACAAAAGATAAAAGTCAAAGAAAAAGATGTACATAGATGACCCAAAAATATTGACAAACCAAAAATGAAGGAATCCAAGCTGTTGTTGTGCATGTACTCATAGATTAATATCTTTTCTTCTGGTTGAATGCAATAACCCAAAAGCCTGACAAGATTTCGATGTTGGAGCTTGGAAATTAATTGAACCTCGTTTTTGAATTCCTCTATTCCTTGTCCGGATAATCTAGAAAGTCTTTTCACTGCAACATCATATCCTAGTAACTTGCCTGCGATAACCAGATATGCTTGTCATTTCTTTAGCGTAAAAACAAGATTCTACAATCAATACCACATTCATATCAGAAATTTCAGTGGTAACTAGCATAATGCCATAACACGTTGCTTCTTTTTTTCAATTCTTCATTTCTTTTTGGTGTGTCTGTTTGTGTGGGACTGTGATTAGGGTTCTGTAACAGACCATAAATACGTTGCCCCTGATTCCTAATAAATTAGCACTAATGTTATGTCACCACATGGTGGTTTTGATCTGAATAAAATACTGATTGTAAACGTATGCAGAGGAGACAATCAAATCTGACACATATTTCCCATTTTTAAGACTGAAGTAAGAAATGAATTCATTCATCTTTTTGGTCATTTTGTGTAATGACACCTTATAAACAGGACCAAAACCGCCCTCTCCGAGCTTATTTGCATCACAGAAGTTATCAGTGACTGTTGCAATGCAAGAAAAATTGACCAGTGGCAATTCATGACCCTTCCTGCTGAGTTCAAGACCATTTGCGTTGCTACCTTCATCAAGAATTGTAACAGTAGTACCAACCTGAAACAATAATAATGACGCGCTCTCCCTGGCATCTTGTCTCCCAGTCGTATCTGGACCATATCACAAAGATATTCTGGTTAACATCATGTGAATGTTGTTCTAAAGATGGGTAGGCCAGTTTATAAAATTGATAGGTACCTATACAGTTGTTCTTTCTCCGTTGTAAATAACACCATACAAAGACAAGCATAAGCATTGCGAAGGAAACCAATGTAACTATAACAATCAGCAATAGCCTCCTCTTCTCTTGAATATCTACCGGGAACATAAAGAAACAAAATATTTCCGCCGGAATTATGCAAATTGATGATTAAAAAAAAAGTTAAATTACCCCTTCATCATTTTAATAATGTCAAGATTAATGGCTGATAAAAAGTTAGGCATATGTGGTAGTGATCTGTTAATCTAGGTGGCTATGTTTAGCTATCGAGAATCACACGTATGGCAAATTGTAGTCAAGCATCATATCTCAATTTTCATATTGAAACCTCCTAAACAAATTAGCAGTTCAAGTAGAGAGAGATTGGAGTTGAAATGTCATATGGCCTGATTCATATCATTTATTATGAGTGTCCAAACTACCTAGAAATAGTGTTCGTTCATCAGAAAAAAAATGCTTTCATATTCTTAGTAAGGCCTACCAGAATTTGCAGGAGCATCCCCGCGGACATAGATAAGGTTGTCATTGCCTTTTCCTATCTCGTTGAGAAGATCCTTTTTGTCCCCATAATAAAGCTCACATCCTGTTCCATCATCGTGAAAAGAAGCATATGCAGTGCAGGAACAATTGCTTCTGCACATAATCTCGCAATCACTTGGACCCACACGAATTGATGCACTTAAAATTATCGAATTTGGCATTGACCCTCTGATCTCCGAGAACTTATCATCGTCTCTGCACACGGATGGCATTGGTATCAAACAACCTTTAGATTTCAAAAGCGAATTGCCTTCACATCGTGTTTGATTTACAAATTCAACCCCGTGATCCAACATAGTGAATTCATTGATTTCCCCGGTTGAAGTCAATACAATCCATGAAAAACTATTATTCCCTTTATGCTTGAATGTCAGGCTAATCTCCCTGCTGCTGGATGCATAGATGAAATTGTATCTGTCCGACTCAAAGAAGAATCTGAACCTATGACCATCCCAGAAACCGATCTGTCGAAAGGCAAGATCTCTACGCCAAACCTTGCAGACTGTCCGATTAGTCCAATCCAAACCTACAGCATATGGTCCAGTAGTTGGGACCAATGGACTTACCCATGAAACAAGAAAATTTAACTTAATGCTTTTAGTGTCCAAGTTGAATATTCCCAATTTCACGCCAGGCAGAAATGTATCAGATAGATAGTTAAAACTCTGCCAAACATTATTCCCTGATTCTGTAAGAATCAGATTGCCCGCATCAAGAAGCTTGGCGCTTGTGTTACTACTAGTCGTGAGCATTCCATAGTTTACTATTATGGGTATCCGCCTAACGTCCGTGATCACCATGTTCCCATCATACCTTATTGTTAGAAGTCCTGAAGAGTCCAAAATGGGATTGCCGCGGTTTGCTACCCAAACTGGCTTCTTGTGCTTATCATTCTTCAACCAAATTCCCATGTAGTGATTGCTGGATGATCCACCTGAGCTGAAAAAGCCTAACACAAACACCCCACCAGCAGAGATTAAGGTTTCATTGTTTCTCAGTATGTCTCCAGGCCTGAGGGTGTCTGTTGACTGACCAAAGCATGCAAAGTAGCAGCATGACATTACAACATAAACAAGAAAAGCTAATCGGTTTGCCACTTTTGTGTTGGCCATTACAGAGAGGCTACTAGTCCAAAGAAACTGCAGATTGATTAAAAATACTGAATGAACTGAAACCATAGAGGGAGAGAGGCTAAGATATCAGGGGCATAAAATTGAATGACAAAATTGATAGGTGGTTCATCCTTTCCAGAAGTGAATTAATATTCATAACGCGTTATGCTCAAGAAGTATAGATTTCAATGAATTTGACAGGTCTGACTTGACAAGGCTTCTTATCTTAAAATAAACTATAAGACCAAAACCCTGTCTTCTTTTACATTCCACAGCAGCACTAACTTACCGTGTTAAACACTTGGAAAATCAAATGAAACAACTAATTATCTTGATGATGGGGATAATGAAAAGCAAAACTATGACCAACTACAATATGTCCTGACAATGTTTATGGAAAATAATGAACCAGTGTTTGGTGCAATAATAGAAGTTGGCCTGTCAAATTTAGGAATGTAGATTCAAATACGAGGACAGTTAAAATATTCATTCAGTTAGTGCCATCTCAACATGCATCCTCAATTAAAAGAAGCCATATTACTTTTTTTACTTTTTTCCGGTTTATGGAAAGAAGCTCATTATTCAAATTGAGACAATGATTAAAGAATTGGGCTAGAGGTAAATCCCCACAATCAAAATTTGTCCAAACCCAACTATTTGACCGGCTGGCTTGACTATTTCAAACAAAAAAAAAAAAAAAAAAAAAAAAAAAGAAGTTGAAGAAAATAAAGTCTAAATGAATTATAAAATGATTTCATTGCTATGGTCAAATAGAAATTAATTAGCATACTCACCAATCCAGTTCAATTCTCAAGCCACTGACTGAGTCTTGCAATTTGCAAGTACTTAGTGGGTCATCAATCCAGTTCATTAAATTATTGTAAAATGATTTGAGGAATGTAAAAAGTTGTCTGTTGTTGTCCTATACCTATCCTATTGTCATCTGAAACCTAAAACAGCAAGTTTCTTTTGTCAAAGATTCCGGTCGGCTAAATAAATGTTTTTTCATGGTTCAATTCTATCTATCTAAGGTCAATTCAAAGAGTAATTTTTCAAGTGACGTTTAAACGAACAACAAAAGTAAAACATGTCAAAGCTAATAGAGGTCAAATGCATTTCTTTACACAACCTTCTTAATTATCAACGAATGACAATAAAATAATTGATAAAATATTATAAGATATTTGAATTTATATTCAAAAGAGATTATACATATACCTGATCACATCTTGATGCTTGAAGACATTAAAAGTTGGGTGTGTATGTTCAAAAATTTCAACTCGCTTATCTGATCGATAATCAAAGCCATAGAAATTACAAAATGTGAAAAAGAGATAAAGTGGGTTCCAAGAGTTGTTTATGAGAGAATGGGCCATGGTGGTGGAGTTAGCAGTCGTTTATTGGGTGTACCGTGTCCAGTGGAGGGTTTGAGATGCACGGTGGTCAATGTTTCTGGAGATGGAGGCGAAGGTGGAGCCCGGCGACGGCGACAAAGGTCCCGGCGGTGAGAATGATGTGTTAGTGTGAGTCTGCGAATGACTGCTAGGAAGTCTTCGGTGACGAAGATAAACAATGGCAACGATGTACTACAGGCCCTACAGGGGTCGTATTTAATTTGTGGGTTGCATTAAAGTTTTTCTAAAATAAATAGGAGTGGGGGGTTAAATTATACTAGTAATCTTTTACTTCTGAATAATCTTTTTTTTTTTTTTTTTTTTTTGAAAAGTGACACATTCACAAATTCTTTTTTAATTAAATAAATAAATAGGATGTTAGTTATATTTAATAATTTAAAAAATAAATAAATATATAAAAATTAGGTGTTAATTTCATTTAATAGTTTAATACTTAATCTGAGAGCGTTCAAATAAAGCTGAATAAAAAATAAATAAAATAGTCAAAAAGCACCTACCGGTTGCTCCATGGGACTTTTAACATTTAAGTCTGTGTTTTGAACAGAAGAAATATCACTCAAAGCCACATTTGAACACGAGTACCTTTGATGTGATTATGGGTATTTTCATAATATGTATTTTTTCAGTAAATCACTAAATGATAATACTTAATTTTGTTAATAAATGTTATACATATATAATATTATAGGAGGGTTAAGTGCAAAATATATAAAAAAAAATGTGTAAGAAACACCTTTACTAAAAATTAAGTACTTTTTTTTTTTTTTACAAGGCAAGAAGGTTTAGAAGTTAGATTAGCAGTGCAAAGATTCGAAGCATGGCACTTTCAAAATCCACCGGAGCACCAATCACTGGGCTATCGAGGCATCAACTTTTTGAGCAAATTATTCCCTAATCATCAATTTTTTTATAAAAATCCTAAAATACCCTTGCTAATGTAAGAAAAAAAAAAAAAAAATTGTATTTAGGTAATTTCTAAAGCAAATTGCTTAATATATATATATATATATAATTTGAAGATTTTATATATATAACACGAAACTAACATCACAAAATATTTAATTGGTGAAGACATGGAGAGAACGAACAACGAACGTGTTTATTCGTGGAATTTGAAATATAAAGATTATTAATATTTATTCAAGATGAGTATTTTCAATATGTCCCGAGTCATACATACTTTTTACAATAATAAATGTTGTGTTGATTTTGACATCATCTCAATTTGCTTAGGTTTTAGTCTATATGACCATGGAGCCTGAGATGCACAAGTTTAATTGTCCCTTAGTTGTTCAAATGTGCATGTGATTGGATGTGATCTTAATTGAGCCACAATTTCATTTTGATACTTCATAGGCTCATAGCAACATTTATATATTCCAAAAACTCAAAAATTTAAATTATGTGAACATTGTTAAATTAAACTGTTAAAAAAATTAAATTCTACACCAGTATGTTTAGAGAAAAAGAAAGATTTTGCTTCTAAAATCAGAGTTATTATGGGTTGATTGCATATATCTTTGTTAAAGATTTTGCATCTCATATATATATATATATGACAAGATCAATAAATATATAAAAGTTGTTGAAAAAATTAAAATAAAGAAACAAATATGAAAGTAACCTGGGAAGAGAGTCCCACCAAATAGTGAAAACAAAGAGAGAAATATAGGAGAGAGAGACCTTTCAAAAAAAATAATAATAAATTAGAGGAGAGAGGGGATATTTTGATTTTTGATTATTATATTTTTTATTTTATTATATTGGTATATATTTTAGACATTTCAAAATTTACATAATGTCTTTATTTGCACAAATTGTAAAACGTAAGGGTTTAATGGGTGAATTGCACATTTTATATATTATGAGGGAATTTTTTACACTTAACCCAATATTATATTCTTAAATTACATATGTATTATTAATATTAATCTTAAATTACATATGTATTATTAATACAGACCTAGCTTACATGTATCATCATCCTTCACTGTACATATATTGAATTTTTGTTTTGGTTAGGAATCCTTTTGGGTTGCACTGCCTTGGAAAAATTGAATATTTATTTTGATTTCAACCTTCTCAACTTATCTTGTAACTCACCCACCTCTCTCGCCGCCAAGACTGTTTTCCCTTTAGTCAAACATTAGTAAAATTTAAGAAGATCTGCAAACCGTTGTGTATATATATATATATATTTTGTGTAAATTTAATGTGTCATAATAAATTTATATAAAAATTTTGAATTATTTAATTTTAACTCTAATGATTATTTTATACCTTTTATGTAAAAATATATTTCCCAATAATAATCAACCATGTGTCATATCAGGACCCACATAACTTTTACAAACTTATTTAATATATGATTAATTCTTTAATGAAATAAGAAAGAGGGATGAAAAAAGAAATATGTTGATTTGGCTGTATAAAAGGCTGTGTAAACCTTTTTACACATTGGTGATGTGCCAATGTATCTTAACATAATGCTGGAGATGGAAAAAATTTACACATAAGTAACATTGTATATTTTACACAAAAGGGTATTTTAACATATGGCTGAAGATGCTCTAAGAAAGTAAAGAACAAAATATATAGAAAACAAGGTTTGTGTAAACTTTTTTACACATTAGTGATGTGCCAATGTATCTTAACATAATGCTGGAGATGGAAAAAATTTACACATAGGTAACATTGTATATTTTACACAAAAGGGTATTTTAACATATGGCTGAAGATGCTCTAAGAAAGTAAATAACAAAATATATAGAAAACAAGGCTTGTGTAAACTTTTTTACACATTAGTGATGTGCAATGTATCTTAACATAATGCTGGAGATGGAAAAAATTTACACATAAGTAACATTGTATATTTTACACAAAAGGGTATTTTAACATATGGCTGAAGATGTTCTAAGAAAGTAAAGAACAAAATATATAGAAAACACGCAAATTTAGCCTGATTGATTCTCAAGTGTTTTCTTCCTAATTACTAGAATATTTGTTACATAAATCACATTTTTTTTTTTTTTTTCAAATTATTACAAGCAATATAAGACTCCCAATTATCAAAGATTATATTTTACTAACATTTTCTCCACTTTTAAAGTAGCATGAAAGCAAGTGAAATAATAAGATTTTCAGCTAACTTCAGAATATAAATTTCAAATTTAATCATTATTTAGGATCCGTTTATTAAATCTTTCATTTTCTTGTTTATTACTTTCCCAAAAAGTAAAATCATGATTTTGATTTATTGATTTGAAAGTGAAATAATGTTAAATAATTTATTTTACTTTCAAAAATTTGAAATCAAAAAATAGAAAGTAAGTTTAATAATTTTAATTTTATTTTCCTCTTATATTTGTCTCTTTAATTTTTTGTATCTTTCTCTCTCTAAATTGATTACTATGTTTACTTTGCTTGCTGCAACTTCCATCTCATCTCAAAAAAGAAGAAAAACAGAATACCAGTAGTAGAATAGAGAAGAGAGAGAGAGAAAGAGAAAGAGGAAGAATAGTGAAGAAAGAGAAAAAGGAAGAGAGAGAATTCCCCATACATCATTCTTTCTTTCTTTGGTCGTCTTGTGTGTAAGAGATCGGTAACACACAGAGGCTTCTTGCGTCTGAGATGGGAATTATTGTGTGCCGATGCCGGAATGCATGGAGACCATCAGGACAGTGGATAATAAGTGTATATTTGCTTCAATTTTTCATAAAAATAAAGACCCGGGGTAGAAGAGGAAAGAGTCCTAAATTTTGTAGTTCACTAATTTACTAAATTAATAAAATTTTGTGAAAGGAAAGTGGGTTCGGTTGGCAATGGTGCAATTTGGGTCACCAAGTGCTTAAAACTTAAACGTTCCTGATATACACGGTGTACATAAGTAAGAATGCATAGCGTGTCATATATTATGAGTGTGTAATATCATATCATCGCTACAACAACGAGAATATTAAAATTTTTCTACTCATTCACCCACTGTATTATATATTATGTTAACCAAGAATTTGGATATCTTCTTCGTCAATAATTTTTTTTGGATGCTTACCCACCCTCTTATATATCATGTTAACCAGGAGTTGGGATATTTTCTTCATCAATATCTTTTTTGGAATTTAGGTATCAAGGACTTTGCTCCCATGACACTGTATAAAACAACTCCTCCACACAAATCGATAAAACTGGAGCTTTCACTCATAGGCATAACCCCCAAAAAGTCGTACATCTTCTTCATCTATCCTTTTCCCCTTCCATGCATTTGGCATTCTGTAGTTGCTTTCTTTACGTGAACCCAAGGGATCCACCATAACCACGAGAATTGACAATCGTAGAATCGTCGTCCATGGTGGTTGTGCCGTGCGCAGACCACTGCTACCTTGGTGCGTTCTATACAATGCATGGATTGGTCCTTGTTGACCTTGTCAACATGTTTTAGTAATTGTGTCCATTATTATGACTCATCACTTGGTGTTTCATTATTTATTATTTTGTGTTAAAAATTTAAAGAAAGGTCAAATAATGAAATATCCATACGTTTTGTAAATATAATGATTATTAATGACTTTTGCAGGTATATTTAACCAATTATTTTTGTCCATGTATATTATGCATGTCTTTATATTTTTCAATTCAGTTTACAATTTGATTGTTCAGAATGCCTCTTCAATCCCACCTTATTTAAAAAAATTAAAAC